TCTGCCGATGTCTTCCGTCGTCGTCTCGATCGACGAGTGGCAGAGCATCCGGTCGGGCGGGGACGAGATGGGGAGGTGGGTTCTGAGCTCCGACGAGGTCGAGCTGGTCGACCGGGTGCGGCCCAATTCGTTCAGGGGTGCATACAGGGGGAGGAGGGTGTGGGTGAAGAAGCTGCGGGGCTGCGAGAGGGGAAGCGCGTACGAGATCGAGATCAGGCAGGACCTGCTGCAGCTGATGAGCTGCGGGCAGAGGAACATCCTCCAATTCTATGGCATCTTCTTCGAAGAGAACGAGGGGTTGTGTGTGGTCACCAAGATGCTGGATGGAGGATCCCTGCACGATGTCATCCAGAAGAACAAGAATGTGGCGATCAGAGAGGTGATGCGGATTGCGCTCGATGTCGCGGAAGGGCTCATGTTCATGAACAATCATGGAGTGGCTTATAGGGATCTCAACACACACAGGATTCTCTTGGACAGGCAGAAGAATGCTTGTCTCGGTGACATGGGCATAGTTACCTCTTGTAACAATGTCGGCGAGGTCACCGAGTATGAGATGGCCGGATACCGGTGGTTGGCTCCTGAGGTTAGTGTGTGTTGTCACTGTGCCATACTACTCACTGTCTCTGCTTTCATTGCTCATCTTCTAACCATGGTATTTATTCTGCTGTACTGATCTAGCTACAACTTGCCCTGCCATATACTGCATTGATATTTGCTTGCATTAATATCAAACCAGCAAAGTAGACCTAAAATGTTAGGTATGCTATTGTGAATTTGCTAACATGGAGTGTGGAAAACACTGCCGATCGGAGTTAAGATTAACGGTGAACTTGTAGTTGAAATTGAAAATTGAACATTATTTTCCTAATCAAGCAGAAACTAAAAATGTTGTGTTTTTACTGCTAATGATAAGTCCTGCTTTTGATAGTTGCTGGAATCAGTAAACTCTATATTGTCTTGTTCTTTTAACTGTTTGGACAACAAGGCTCCAAATTGTTTCTGGCTTTTCGAGTTTTTGATCTTTGATTGTATATATCACTTGTTTTAATCTTCTTGGTTGCTCAAGATCTTAAAGAAGATGGGCGTCGTACATGGGGACATTTACGACCTTCGCATTTGTATACCTTGTTTTATCTCTAAGATCATTACGGGTTATCGATCTCATTAGATGGAAGTGCACTTTATCTCGAAAAGCAGCTATATGCTACTTCTAGCGCATTACCTTAGCTAACTGTTGTCCGCAAATAATTTCCTTTTAGACTGGTGTTTTCTCATTGCTACATACGAATGGTACATCACAATTACAGGAAATATATAGGTGTTGTACCTAATCCAATATGCAGAATGAACATCGACCATTTGTATTCCTCTTTTCTGTCAATGCTTGCTTAAATAGGTAATCAGCTAGAATTACATGTCATTTTTCTGGATTAAATTGAACGACCTACGATGCAATAACCAGTATGGTTTACACTGATTACGATGTAGATAATCGCGGGGGACCCCGAGAGTGTGACAGAGACTTGGATGAGCAATGTGTATAGTTATGGCATGGTGCTTTGGGAGATGGTAACCGGCGAGGCTGCTTACTCTTCATATTCACCGGTTCAAGCAGCAGTGGGGATCGCAACGTGTGGGCTGAGACCTGAAATACCTAAAGACTGCCCACAGGTTCTGCGGTCGCTGATGCAGAGATGCTGGAACAATAACCCCGCAAAGCGGCCTCAGTTTGCAGAAATCATCGCAATCCTAAACAGGCAAAACGTTCGATGAGCCGCTCGAACCTTCCCTTCTTTTTATTTTAAGCGTTAACGGAAAGCTTTCTACCCTACTGTGGATTTGGTATGTTCTTTCTTTGCAAGAGAATGCTTTTTCTTTTTTTGTTCTGTCATCGTATCGAAAGCTGAAAAATGCAAATGTGCCATATGACATGGTATCTATTACTTTATTTATTTGATTTTTTTTTTCGTTTTGACTCAATTCAGGAGGTTGAGATTGTGATGTTTTTGGATCTTTTTGCATCTCTCTGTGAGCAAATTATTTCCATCCAGTCTTTGTTTGGATCAGTATATGCTTCTACCAATACCAGAGTCAATTGGGATCTACTGAAACCTTGCATTCTTTAGCACTCTCATTCTGTCTTGATCTGAGGTGCAGACTGCTTCTGTGAGTTGTCTCTGTTATTAAGCCATCATCATTATGACCCACCCACTTTGCTTTCTTACTCTAATCCTGTAAAGCTGTCCTCCCTTTTCCCTACCTTCTGGTCCCTCTATTAAAGCTTGGGTTCCATTAAATTAGCACAATATTTTACTTTATCCTGCACCTCCATGGCAATGGTATGGTGGTGCAGTCAGTGTGGGTTCCAATACCTCATTTATTTTGATCTGACACGACGGCAGAGAAGCTAAGAAATGTCTAATGGTGGTCAGATGTGATAGAAATCATAAACCCTCGTCAAAGAACTGACAGATATCGAGTCAACAGAAGAAGTCAAGTCAATTCTGTGAGCCAGAATTCAGATTCACACTTGGTGGGCGGAGATAAGATTTGATTCTACAGAGACGTAAGATTTCATTTGCTTTGTTGTTGTTGTTGTTACTGTTGCTGTAAGGTATCTATCGATCGATCTCTGCTGCTCTTTCTTTTCCCTCTCCTGTTTTGTTTGGGCTTTGTCTTTGTTCTTATTCCGACCTTTGTTGGCTCCTTCTTTTCCTTTTTGTCTTCGCTTCTCTTATTCTGTATTCTTTCCGTATGGCAATTGAAGTCGGTCAGCTAATTTGCTCCACCATTTCTTTTCATAAAGGAACACACCAAAATAAGGGACAGGGGAGGGGCCCTCATGTCACACCATTGCACCCACAAATCCTTTTTGTTTCTCGAGAATATTATTATTCCGTTGAGAAAGATGATGAATTTATCATTTCAATCTTCACAACAAAAGTGTCCAAATAAAATACTAAAATTTTTAATTATCTCTCTTTATTAAATCCAACTACATAGCAAGCACTAAGAAATTACGACGATTGTGTAAATCACAACAACAAGGAGATAGATATATACAATTCTGTGAAATATCATGAATAAAATAAGATGAAACTTTTGACAAATTATTTAAATATCATCAAAAATAATTTTTTAAATATTTACTAAAAAATAATTAAGATACGAATGATGTTTTATAGATATGAGTGCGAGTGCTTGACAATTTAAAAACAATGTATACAAAAAGTTTATGTTATCAAAATAAAAATATTAAGATGAGCGTGTGGAGTTATTAGGTACGATAAAAAAATAAATATTTTTATTCATGAATAATTAGATATCATTTTGACAAAAGATAAGATAGAAAAAATTATTTAAGATGATATGAACATATGCTTAAGAGACATCCAGATGCGATATAATAGAAACTATAAATAAATATGTAAATATTTTAAATTTTATTAAATATATAATTTTTTACAGATTTCAATTATCGTAAAAGATTCATGTAATCGAGTCCAAACGATCGGGACTTTATTGTTTTTTAAGGTACATAAGCAAAAAAAAATTAAAATTTTTTGTTGATGGTTTTCATAAACATAAGAAAACATGAAACGTTTTCTGTCGTTGGCTTGGCCCATTCGAAACGATCCACGTCACTATATCGAGCAAATCTTCCGGTGATCCTTCTCTTTCGATCTTATTCTATCCCCTTACCCTCTCCTTGTTTGATAAGACTGAATCGAGAAGGCCTCTCTCTCTCTCGGATGTGACGATAGGTTAGAATCAGAGGAAAAAGAATGAGAGATTTCTGACGATCGTCGAGGTGGTGCATCATATGGGAAGCCGAAGAAGAGGAAGAGCAGGAAGAGGTGGATATTGGCGGCCATGGCTGCCTAAGAAACGATCTTAACGAAGATGATCGAAACCGCCAGTAGTAGTGGCATTAGGCCCCACCATCTCCTCCACTGTTGCTCGTGGGATTTATCGGCGGATGGCTACTTGTTGCTTGGGGAAGCGGAGTCGCACCGATCGCGGCTCCGACGATCGCCTCATATTTCATTGCTGAGGGAATTATAGGCTGCTGCACCTACTGCCTAGCACTTCCAAGGACGTTGACTTCCACTGGGGTCCGAGGGGGTGGAAAGGGCCACGATGAGAGAGGGAGTGATCGCCACCTCCGCCGTCGAGTGCTCCACCAGTCACAGCATGGTTCACGGCCACCTTATACCTCCGCGCATGGTCTAGCACCTCGCCCTTGCTCCCACACCTCAAGGAGCCACGATGAAATTACCTACCAACGTCGATAGGTGGCGAGATTCCTGCCTCCTGCCCGTCATCTCCGACAGTAGCACTAAGCCTCCCGGCGAAACAGGCCCGTCGATTTGGATCCAAGCAGCCCTACCACTGATTGGGAATGACAGTTCCCAAGGGATTCCGTCAAAATCAAAAGGCTCCAATGGAGTCGTCGATTGCATACTGGACAACCCTCGTGCCTAACGTGGAACGATTATAATAGTTCGATGGCAAAATTGATCGCCAAAGGTTGTGGGCAACTCGCGGTGGGGATGTGACAGTGGATCAGTTCAAGTGGGAGGAGGGTCTACTGAAGAAGAAGAAGAAGACATGGGAGCCCAGCTCCATCTACGTCACTCCGTTCGCACGAGGAGAGAGAGGTCGAGTTTTAATTTGGGTAAAACTCAACTGTTCCCTTATATTGACATCAATCCCACAAATGTGAAGAGGTTTCTATCAAAGTAAGCATGATTAAAAATAAAATAAATTATACTAATTTTGAAACTGTAGGGATCCAAATATGACTTAAAAGTCCACACACACACACACACACAAGATGCTATAAGGAACCAACGATAGGGGAACATGTAATTAGTACAACACCTTAAATATTATCCTAGTAGTCAATATATCAGATACTCTTATCAAAGATTCACAATTCAAAACTTTAATTGATACATACTCTTATCAAGGATTAACATTAAACTACATTATCATTGATTGTAAAATCTATGGCAATTTCAAGCAGCATTAATTCTTGTTTTCAGGACAAAAACAGGTTGACCCCAATCCATGTTCACATTCATCTACCAGCCAACAGTGGCAACACACTGCCACTAAGACTCAAGAACAGCAGAAAAAATAATACAAGAACAGAATTCGTGGTACACTGCCGAGGACATGACCGTATGGAGAAGACCTTTCTACCTTGTTGAACTGACAAAGGAACGAACCTCTTTGTTTGGCCGCAAAATGATTGATACATCGGCCCTCACGAGACTAATACTCGCTGAATCATTCCTTGAGTCCAAGTCGCAGTTTCCTTCAATTGGTCATTGTCTGATCGAAAGCATTCTCCCAATAACTCCATATGAAAAGTACAATCCTTGAACAGGATCTTTGTGTTTGGACCAAGAGTGTCTGCAAGATCTCCCAGCACCGCAACCGCAGCTTTGGTTACCTCCTCGTCCCTGGGGAAAAAGAAAACATAAAAAGTACATCATGTTAAAATGCCACGAGAAAATACAGATATGAATAGCATTTTAGGTAGTTCTACTTAACACACCTGTTCGTATCCCGAACAACAGCTTCGATGAAGCTCAGAAGAGGGCTCGCGCAAGGAACCATCAGAGCTGCCTTGGGACCTTTGAACCCTTGAAGTATACCAGAGTAAGCCTCGAAAATACCACGTCTGAGCTGATTACCATATTCTTGCATATCATCATCATTTACATCCAAGTGAGAGCAGAGCTCGGCAGCTCCTTGCAGCATCGGTATAACATAAGGGACATACTTTTCAAAATGCTCCCCGATTGCAAGAGCAATATCTCCAAAGCATGAAAATATAGGAGGCTTTACAGACCGATGAAGCATAGGACTGGAGAGATCTTTCAGAAGCTGACTCATGATGCCATCACAATAGGGAAGGACCTTGTCATCTACTGCACGACAGATATCACCGACCACACCAACAGATATGGAGCAGACTTGATACTCTTCAAAGTTCTGCAAGCCCATCTCCAAATACTTGTAGAACTCTTGCATGTACTTTGCAAATTCAGGGCCTGTGGCATAAGCAAGCGCCCCGATCGCAAGCATTGCTTCTTCATGCACGGTAGAACTGCGGCAAGCAAAAACTTGAAGGAAGAGGATCATCATCTGATCAGCAGACTGAAGAATTATAGGCTTCGTCTCATTTGAGTTACTCAATTTTTGTAATATTACTTGAAGGACGCCACATAGCAGGGCTTGCAGATCACCCTGCTTTTCCCTGTCCTCCGAAGATGCAATATGAAGCTCCAGAGTTTTGCTTAATCTATTCATGATTTCATGGAGTAGATGAGCAACCATGTTCGAAGTTTCAGGTATACTGCTACATCGAACTATCTCATTCAATGTTTCATATGCAGAAGAACGAAGCCTAACATTGCTTGGATCTGTGCGATCAGCTGTAGAAAGGAGGGCTGAAACAATATCACCAAGATAGGGTGAAAGTATCGATGAACTAGAACCTGCATCCTCAAAACCTTGGGCAAGGAAATAAATGGCTCCACAAACTTTCTCAGCCACATTAGGAGCATCTCTGATACTCTCCAACAATACAGACATGATGTGCGGAAGGTTTGTGGCAGTTAAAATTGGATATTCACCACCAGCAGAATGCAGGAACTCAAAGATCCTACCAAGGGTCCATGCTGTTGTGTCCTTGACATGACTATTCTGGTCTTTCATTGCATTCAACAAGAATTGAAGTCCAGAATGGACAAGTGGTGCAAGCTTCTCAATGGACGGACCTTCGAGAATTGACCCAAATGCAAAAGTAGCTGCTTCACGGCTTCGCCAGTCACCCTTTGTTATATTACTCTCCACAAATGGCATCGCAAGGGGCACAACTGCATCCCCAACGGTTCTTGCAATAAGTCCAAGGCAGGTTCCCCCAGCCATAGACAGATTCCAGACACCATCTTCCTGATCCTGATCCTCCTCTTGTTTAAGCAGTGTTTCTAACATCAATGGCACAAGCGTAGGAAGCGCTTGCTTTATAAAGTTAGAATGGGGAGAAGAGCTCTCGCCGTTATCTTCCCCAAACTCCTCTTGAATTTGAATCTCTTCATCACAGATAGAGCTCCAAAACTCAATCGCTTGAAGAGCAACAGGCTCCTCATCTCCTCTCACTGCATTCGCAGTCAAATTAAAAAGGGTCTGCATGTAAGGCTCAAGATACTCGTAATATGTAGAGGCTATAGAAACAAGGCACTCAATTGCTGCTTGTCTGATCTCTGACTCTTTTGACATAGTGGTCTCACAGACAACTTTCATGATGAAGTTCCTCTCTACCTCATTCTCAAAGTTAGTCTGAGCAAAATCTAAAGCATTATAAAGTGCCTTAACAGCTGCAAGGCGGACTTCAGAACTATGTTCTGTCTGGTTCATACCCTGCACAACAGCAGTGAGGATGGCATTTACTTGATCCTGCTCCAAGTCCTGAGGAGATACCTCCTCACAAACATACCCCAGTGCCTCCAAGGTTGATTGCTTTAAAGGAGCAGGGGCATCTGGCTGAGTCATGTTGTTTAGAAGCAACCCTATCAGCTCTTGCCATTCACGTCGTGGTACCTCGATTGATGCAACCTTAGCAATGACTTGTGAAGAAGTCTGTCGAGCGTCAGATACTGATGATCCAAGCGTCCTCAACAAAGAATCCTTGATTTGGGATTTGATAGATGGATCCACACTGACCCACCGCTGAGTCAATTCTTCCTTACGAACTGCATCCTTTGCATCTAGGGAATTCTTAAGAATAATACCGGCAAGTCTTCGAGACTCGGGAGGCTTCTGTTCACTTGATAGCTCAACAGATAAGGAAAGTAGAAAGAGGGGGAGATTCTGTTCCTGAAACTGCTTGAGGTTTGCTTCAGCAAGAGTTCGAGTATGCCCGTCAGGAGATTGGGCAGACAAGAGGACCTGGGTAATCTCCATCGCCATGTTTATGGCACTAGAGAACAATACAGAAACCAATAAATGATAAAATTAGCAAAACCAAGCAATTTCTTCCATGACCTAGCCATCATATACGCACAAACAAAAAACAATTACTAGGAATACACACCCATCTATAGTGATCTATAATTGTCAGGCATATGTTATACTTCCCACTTGCATGTTCAACAAAGCTACATTCTAAGTTCTATTATTTGAATTGAAATTGCAATATCTTGAACGAAATCTAGCAAATCTGCATGACCTAACAAGAACTACAAAATTATTTTTACTGTTAAAATACACATACAATTGACATGAACTAATTCTTACACATTAGCCAAGCTATACAATATGCAACACATCCAACACCACATGCACCGAAACAAAAACATAAAATCGCCCAGAATACCAATTCTTTGGAACAGAAAAGATAGTCCCGAAGCGGATTAAAGTGTAAACCCCAAACCCTAACACCGAACCCTAAGACGAAATCGAACACAAACTCCAATCTACACCAAAACGATCGAAGCCCCGCAGGTAGATGCCCTATATAAGTAGGGTTACATACTTCGACAAGCAAACACTCGAAAGAAACAACGAGAAAGAACATGCAGACAACTAGACGACAAATCACACAGAGGGTAGATGATCGACCGGCAACAAATCAGAGAAAAAAAAACCGTAGGAATCGAGAAGAGGAATTCGAATATGGTGTAATCTAAGAAACCCTAGATCAGTGATCGGAAAGCGATACCTTAGAGAGGGATGGAGAGGGCAGAGATGCGCAGCCTGCTGGAACCGAAGGGGCTGGGGCGGGATCAGGATCTGCCCGGAATAGTCGCGACGCTATCGCCCTCACTCACACTGATGTTGCCGTGGGCACTGGCGAATGGGGGAAAGGAAGAGAGATGCTTCGAACAAGCGGTCGTCGGGGAGTATATATAGAGGGATTTTGGAGGAGGTATGGAAGCGGGAGGACGAAACCCTAATTTTACCTTTTGAAATCGCACCGTGGGTCGATTGGGCCGGGTTCAATCGCGAAGTATGATGGACCGTTCTTACCACAGCCCGACAACCGACCCGTAGTGGTTTGGGGTATGTATTGATCTCCGTTATGCTTCCTTTAAGCTCGTGTTCATGTTTGGATCTTAGATTCATCGTGTATAAATCTGATATCTGACATAAAACTTTATGTCTCGATCCTTATTGGAGATCCGATAAGTTGCTAACGGGTTTCACATGAAGATTGGATCCGACCCCGTAATTGTTAGTGTTTTCCGGATAACTCAAATTTTTCGTTGCAAATATTTATTTCTAGCTAATAAGACAATTAAAGTTTTTCTTAACATTTATATGTATTTTGTTTTAAGAAATGGATGATTTTCTTAAAAAAAACTCAATTTTTGAATATTTTTCCCTCAAAAGGTGCCCCATATCTTCAATTTTTTTTACATATAGTGTTCCATATTTTTTTGTAATCCCATAAATGCCCTCGTCCTTCCTCGCTCGTCACTTATGCCTGGTTGTGAGGCCCCATTGCTTCTGTATCACCTGCCTTATTGAATGCCTTTCATCACCTACTCTAAATATAGTTCGACTTATTGAACTCCTCTCTATCTTTTGCTTCCGACACCACCCTTTGTTGGGGTACGAGGCTACCTTGGGAGGCGAAGAGCAGTTTAGCAAGGCAACCAGTGTTGGGAGTAAGTAGGGAAGGACATTCAACAAGGCGGTACGATATGAAGGCAATAAGACAATCGTGGTAGAACATTGTAATGGGGTAGAGACGATAAGGAAGACTTAGAGGCATTTATAATATTATAAAAAATATGGGGCACTATATGAAGAAAATGAAAAGATGATCACCTTTGAGGAAAAACCTAAAACAAATGGCCTTTTTTTTTTAAATTGTTCAAACTTACTGGTTGAAGTTTCATCTTAATAGGAAAAGTATTGGGACTAATAACCATCCAACATGTGACTATAGATGTGGCAACTCAATCAGATTTGAAGATAGAATTTGCCTCCCCTTTATCTACCTAACAGTTAATGATTGTCTTCTTGTAAAATATTTACTGAATATTCTTTCTTTTTACTATTAATTATAAAAGTTAACTCTAACATAATTGTTAGGGGATCATTTTTTACTAATTACTATGCTCACTTACCTCAAGGTACTAACTTGAGTATCGGAGGGATCATGTTGAAAAACTCCTTACCTCAGTCTTCGTCTAGGTGGCATATTGAGAACTTTATATTTTCACCTCGGATGTACCTTAATCACACCTTGAACATCTCTATAAATAATAATTAGTATATATTATTCTCGCTTAGTGATATGATTAGTATACCAATAGAAGTATAAATAATATGTATATATTATCCTCGCTTAGTGATATGATTTGTGATATCTATATTTCAAAAATATGATAAATAATATGCTTGTATTTTCGACTTTTAAAGTTGAAGTATATATATGCTTTCTAAAAATATTATTCTCGGTATTTCATGTATAAGAATCAATGTTTATTTTAAACATATTTTATAGTGAAAAAGGTATGGTGCTTGCGGAGTTGAGTATGAGATTAGGTTATGACAATAAACATACATATAGTCATTAGAAGTTATAATCGAATTATAATCAACCTTTAATGAATATCAAGATTTGAATGAGTTTAAACATGATTCAAGTAAGTAAGTTTTAATTTTAAGTGGATATTAAACTACTTAAGTATGGATGGAGTAATAAAAATTAAATAAAAATATAAATAAAATATGAGTATAATACTAGAAATGTTGATATATATAAGTGAGAGTAAAGAATGAGTTTAGATAAAAAATATATGACTAAATTAAATTCAATTAAAGTTGCTACAATATTAGAATTTTATTAGTAAAAATAAATAAATAAAAACTTGGAATGAGACATAATGAGATTGAACCCTAGACTATGTGCATTCATGCTTCCTAAGAGTTATATACTAAGTTTTCATCTTTTATTGTACAATAATCATAGGTTTTACGATCTATAGAAAACAGAAATAGAACAAATCAAGAATGGATTCATTGTTTTTTTATCCTGTCAAAATTAACATAATAAACTTTGAAAAAAAATAACACAATCAACACTAATTACTTTGGGGTGATTCGAATTTGAAGAATCAAAACCATATTATTATCAAGGATACATATTGACACATTATGTCCACCATCTAAAAATATTGATTGTTGATGTGTTTATGAAAGAAAACATGATGAACAAGGAATTTGATGGTATAGTCAATGATAGAAAACACTAATTACTTTTTTTTTGGGAGGGGGGGGGGTAGAAATGAGCAAATCATCCACATTACACTTTTCAATATGTTTTCCAGTTTTCCAGACACCCATCAACTTTCTAAACAATGCTAAAAGAAAAGGCTTGCAGCAAAAAGGCTGTAGCAATTTTTTTCAGATGAAACTAAACATGAGGGGGAAGAAATTGGCCCCCTTTGTACTCTCACATCATAGAAAAATTGTCAATTACCATCTCTCAAAAAGAGTTGTTCATGAAGAAAAATATTACACAAATGAGCCTGAATTCAATTCAAGAGTTCAAGGCTTCTGCTATCTCCTGTAGATCAACTGGTCCTCCAATTCGCACATTTTTTACAGCACTCATCTTTCATGGAGCGTGCACCCTTTCGTTGTTCCACTCCTATATATATAATTTTCACAATTCTTTGCATAACTATATACATACTGCTTCCTGCCTCTGATACTGATCCGTTTCAATTTTGTACACGCCATCTTCGCCTCTCTACAATCGTCTATAGTCACATTCTTGATTCTTGAATAACAGCACATCGAAACATCTTTGCCAAGCTTTATGTACTCTGGGGATCTGCTGTTCCAAGAGCTTTCTTGTAAAGATCCAGGGTATCAGAGTGTGTTGGATCAAGGCACAGTGCTGCTTCGCAATCTCGCGAGGTTGATGCAGAGTCGCCAATTGAGTCATAGAATGCAGCACGCAGGTGAAGCAGCTGGAGGTCTGGCTTGAAAGCTATTGCTCCTGAGAGCTCAGCTATAGCATCATGTTCTTTGTGCTCATCCATCAGAACTGAACAGAGGGTTACAATAGTTATCATCTTGAAGACACTAACTTGGGCCTTATTCCAGTAAATGAAAGGAATTGCCTTCCTTTTATAAGAAGATTGTTGCTAATTTACATGTAAGGATGAATGCTTAGTGCAACTATCAGATTGACAAAATACCTTGAAAATGCACACACACAAAAGCAAATATTGCACGAAGATTTAGCTTAAACTGACTTCCTTTAGGGTTATAAAACATGAAACAACAGTCAAAAAGACTCCGGTATTCACTATTTTAATAAGATTGTTATTTAAGATTCAATTCCAGAAAATGCTTTAAAATGTATTAACACATGCTATGAAAATACAACAAATTCATCTGGACCTCAACAAGTTGGTGAAACACAAATCTCGTCATTTGGCTGTCTTATGAAAGGTCTTCGGCCTTTTCATGTTCAACCTGATATTCCAGCAGCAAATTATAGGACAAAGATGTTGCAATGGCTTCCATGAAGGTTATTAAACTCGACAAAAATTAATATAATGGCGATTTCAAGGACTAACAAGCTTACATCTGAAGGATGGAGAACAATTATGATATACAAAAAGCTAATGTTGCTTTATATATAAGACATCCAAGAAGCAATGAAGCAAATATAATCTTAAGTGCAATATAGACATTAAATAGAGAAACTAACATAATAGGTCTTAAAAATCTTTTGAAGGTGGTAAACAATTAAATCTACATGGAACCTCAAATTGATAGAAAAGGCACCAATTCAACTTGAAAGAGAATTTATGAATAAAAAGTTATGTCTTTTCTCCTTCATCTGATCTGTATAACTGATGGTGAACAAAACCAAAACACCTATGTGCTTAAATAACTCACCTGCAGCCCTGTATCTATAGGGGTATGTCCTCAGAGGATCTAACCTTGTTGCCATATTAAGATCACTCTTTGCCATGTCACGGTCACAGTATTCTGACCGCTTCTCATATGCGGACGCATTGTTCTTTGCCTTTTCTATTAACTTCGTCATCTCATCATAAGCAGCTTTTTTCTGATTCTTGAGGTAATAAACCCGAGCCAGACCCTGGTGTGCACGAGTGTGCTTTATACCGAGTGCCTTTAAGTAACATTCTGCAGCCTCATCCAGCATATCACAATCGACATATATGCTTCCCATGTTATTGTGTGCCTGAAGGAGATTGTTGCCACAACTATTAAAGTTAGATCATCATACTTTATTGCAAAAGACAGGCGACATAATTCTCAACAAAATTCACATACAGTACTCACTTGCCCTTTACGAAGGTTATCAGATGCACAACTGTTAGCTTGTTCAAGTAGTTGAATGACATAAGATGAAGATGCCGGATCTAGGCTTGAATCAGCTAGAGCATATGCTTTAAGAAAGAAAGCTTCAAATGACCTCTGAAGAGAAAGAGACTCCTCAGACTTAGCCAATGCTTCGTCGCGGTGGCCAGTGTCATATAAGATCCATCCTTCATAGATAAGCCTTTCGTGCTCATGGGTCGAATGATTCCGAGCCAGCCGCAAACTATGCATCGCAGCCTTTTGGCAATTCAACCTATATCGAAAAGCATTATCAGCATATTGTGATGTGGTACTTATGTAAAAAAAAAAAAGGAAATTTCATGTGTATCCTTGAAATCAATCACTTCTTCTCTTCTGCATATACTCAATTGCTCAATAATACTCCAGGAAAAAGACATCATTATCTAAAACTGGATGGATTGTAAGCAGCACCAATGTTAGCAGTCTTAGCAGTTGCAGCAACACTTCTTGGCATAAAATTGTTAACATATATTATGAGATTGCATGCCAAATTGGCTAAAGAATGCCATATTACGACATCATTATCTAAAGAGTCAAATGGTTGACAAGAAAGATTTATTTTGAGAAAATATCTATCAAAAATGTTTTCTCCATCGAGATCATTTGAAAGTCATTTGAAAGAAAAAATAACATCAAAAGCAGCTAAATCATAAGCTTGCAACAAGGACACACAGTCTTAGAAAAGAAAAGCTTTGTGGCGAACGGCTTACCTTAGCAGCAGTAGCGACTGTCTAAATCTTAAGCTGCTATTCATGGGCTCTTTTGCCAACATCTGGTGCACCACAGCAAGAGAGCCAATATCATCCACTGCGGACCACCGGTCGTAGAGCTGCATCCAGCAATCGGCCATGTCCCACAGCTTCACATTCTGCTGGAGGATGTCGATCAACTGATCCCCGTGTAGCTTCCCATGAAACATCATGTAGTTGGGGTTCAGCGTCATGAGCGCCCTCAGATCCTGCAATGCACCCTCATAATCCTCGAGTGCCAGAAGGAACCATGCACGAAGCTCCAGGCAATCAGTGGAGACCTTGAATCCAATGATCTTGTTGATCTCTGCAATGGCTGCACCCACCTTGTCATCCTCCATTAAAGCAATTGCCCGTAACTTGTAAGGGTAAGCGAGGGTGGGGTCGAGCTTGGTGGCGATCCTTAGATCCGCCATCTTCTCCTTGCCAATGCAGTACAATGATCTCTCCTGGTGCATCCACCCGACATGTTCATGCTCATCGATGAGGCCACTGGCCAGCTTATAAGCAGAGTACTTGTGCCCCTTCTTGAATTTGGCCCTCGCAACACCGACTTGGGAGTACACATGCCCCTCTGAAGTAGCCTTTGCGAACCACCTCTGGGCGTCCTTGTACTCGCCCCTCTCGAGCATCACGCAACCCAACTGGTGCAAAGCTAGCTGCTTTTGCCACCCAGGAGCGGCGGTCTCCACCAACCTCTCCAACAACATCACCGTGGTGTTGGATTTCATGTCCTCCTCCATGGCCACCTGGCTCAACAAATGGTACAGGACGAACGAAGCGTGCCCTGCCGCGTCCAACCTCTTCCTTCCCTCCTGAGTGCAGAGCAGCCTTGTTATCTCGGTGTCGCCGAGGGATTTGGGGAGCATGCGGAGGAACACCTGAAGACAAGCTGCGACGAGGAGGTACGCCATCTCCTCGAGCCCGTACTCGACGAGGAGGAGGGCGTCGTCAAGGCTGCGAACCAAATATGCGAGCTTTAGATCGCAGGCGGACTTGAGGCCCTCACAGCAGAACTTGTTGGCGAAGGCGAGAAGCTCGAGGACGGTATCGGGTGGGAACTCGTCGAGGCGACCGGTGCGGCTGAAGACGTCAACAGCCTTCATCCCGCGGGCAGAAATGCCGTTGTGGGTGAAGCTGATGCGCTCGCGCTGGGCCTCGGCAAAGCCGCCGCAGAGCAAGGTGGAGAGGGGCTTGGAGAGGGCCGCGATGTTGGAGCGGACGCAAGGGACCTCGTCGTCGCCGATGCAGAACCATACGTCGGCGTCCGCTCCCTCTTCTGGCTCGTGGCGGCGGAAGGAGGAGGAAGAGGAGGATGGGGAGGGGGATGGCACGGGAGGGGGGCGGCGGCAAGGGCAGAGGAGGTCGTTGGAGGTGGAGAGGAGGGCGGCACGGGGGCACTCGAGGGACGGCGAGGTGGTGGTGCAGGCAGAGAGGGGGGAGGGGAAGGAAGAGGGAAAGAGCTGATCCTCGCGGCGCTCGAAACGGAGCCAGGCAGAGAGGACAACGCGGTGGTGGGTGTCGGGCGCGTGGAGACGGGCGGAGCGGAGAGTGCGACGGAGAAGCTTTGGGTCGGCGAGGGGGCGGAGGAGGGAATGCTGCTCGAGATAGAGGTCGCAGAGGAGGAGGAGCCGCTCGGCGCCGGTGCCGGAGTTAGCGTCGGATGTGGAGGAGAGGCGGCGGAAGGAGTCGGAGAGGGCGGAGACGGGGTCGACGGGACGGAGGAAGGGGTCGACGGGGGGGTCGATGCGGTCGGCGGAGGGGAGGCCGAAGGGGAGAAGGGAGTCGAGGAGGAGATAAGAGGGGCAGTGGTGGAGGCCGCCGCCGCCCCCGCCCCCGCCGTTGCATCCCTGGATAGATTTATTGCGGAGGGAAAAGGTGGAGCGGAGCAGCGGCTTATCGGACGACGACGAGGAAGGAGCATTGGAATTGGAGACCGCCGGATTCACCGCGTAGACTTGCGTCCCTTTGCACCCATCGATCAGCTTCAGGCTGCGCAGCGTCGTCAGGAAATGGTTCTGCATCTTCTTGTTCCCCTCCTCCACCTCCTCCTCCTCCTCCTCTCTCTCTCTCTCTCTCCTCTGCTTCTCTCCTCCCTTCCTTTGCTCTCTCCTAATCAAAAGAAAAAGCAGGAAAAGAACGCAGAAAAGGCTGCATGATGGCGACACCTGCAAGCACCACCAGAGAAGAGAGATGCAGAGAGAGGGAGGGAAGGAGGGAAGGCGGAAGGGAAGGAAAAGGGACGAAGGTGGCCCAGGCTTAGGGAAGAAGCATTTCGATTTGCCTTTTTCTTTCTTTCCAGGAAAATTGGCACCTTTTTTTACCAGCAGGATGGGGAAGAAGAGGCAGAGGAGTAAAAAACGGAAGGTCTGGCCGCGAACCAGATGATATTGGAGGTACGTTGAGGAGGAGGGAGGTTGTCCGGATGCATCGGTGGCTGGTCTCCCCAGCTCTCTCTCTCTCTCTCTCTCCCTCCCAAGATGATGGGTGGGATATAATACAAAGTCTGAAACAAGTTTCGGTGGAGCAACCGCTCTAGAAAGAGAGAGAAAAAGAGAGGTGATTTAGTTCCGACGAAAGAGGAGGGGAAGCGTGGATGTCGGGTTGTCTTCCTCTCGCGTCCTCTCCCCGTACCAGTAGTCCCGAGGCGAGAGAGAGAGAGAGAGAGACGGGGGTGGTAAGGGCGTGCAGAACAAGTGTCGTAGAATCCACGGTCGCATTTTAATACAGTTGAACTCCCAACTGTCCTACGAAGGAGCAAATATTATGTAATGGCGTCGGCGCCAACCAAGATCGAGCCAAACCTTCTCCGGCGAGTACAAAGAAGCTGTTACGTGTTGCGCATTCCCCGTCGTTGCCTTCGATCGCCAGCCCGGCTGGACATGCCTCCGGCTCAGTTGTTCCCTCTCTGACCACGAACTGTTCCGGGCCGGCACACCCACCGGTCCAAGCCCTTTGGAGATTGGGTTTTGGACGCCCATGGGTTTTGGATTCTAGCCTTTACTTCCCCAGTCCTTCAATTGTACGGCGATGCAACAGTCACCGATATGTCTGGATGATCGTGGCCACTAAGGCGTCAGTCATCATCTGATAGAAAACGACGGCCGATCCCCCACCATCTGGCCGTTCGCTCATGACAGCCTGTCAAGATCGAACGGATGAAATCTCCGTGGCCCACGCGGCAGTCGTTCCACGCAATTCGACCAACAGTCGCGCCACGACGAACGCTTTAATACAAAGCTATACCTTTTTCACACCTGTCGTACCATATCACACGAACCTGAGATCGTGATTGGCGGTGAGGACGACGGGACCCAACAGAACGATCTGCCGAACCAACCATGAACCGGACCTCCTCCAGCTGTACTCACACGTCATCCTTTCTCCTCCAGTCGTTGCCGTCCGATCGGGATCACTGGAGACGACAAAACGGTTCCGTTTGGTCACGTCACTGCACCATGAGAACAAGGATTGACAGGCTTGCCGTTGCAACTAACACAGTCCAGCGTGTGGAATCCGTTACGCTGACAACCTCAAAGGAAGCCACGTCGAACAAGGGCCCCACATTGGTTGAACTAAATCCCGATGCCGTTACTTTGTTAATCAACTAAAGATGCATCTTTAATCAATGAAAACATACCAAGAAACAAAAGTTAATCTCACTAATACAAAAAACTCAGTTATAAACTAGTCATAAAAGATCGACATAATGTATGTATATTCTATGAGAGTTTCTAAAAGAATGTCACATGATTCAAAACTAAGCAATTGACGGTTTGTTATTGATTGTTGCGGGATGATCCATTAATTTCAGTCCTACATGATGAGAACATGACAACTAAAGAAAACTGCTGCAGCATTAAAATGCATGTCACAAACAATACCAACTGAAATTTAATAGGATTTCCAAACTCATACGAGGACTCCAATAACTGCCTTGTACGGATTGCACTCACTCTACGGTTACCACATCTTTCGAAGCACCGCTTCGCTAAGTTGAATATGGTTCGAGGATTAAAAATTATGATTCAACTAACTAATTTATAATTATGTAGAGTAAACAAAAATGATTTTGATAAATTATCTATCACATGGAAAATTACTTTTCTTTATTATCCAGGTTGATTAATTATAAATAAATTTAATATGTAATTAAAAAGTCCATGGCGGCTTAAATCAATCACCACCGGTTTGTCTTCCCTGAATAAACGCACAAGAAGAAGACGGGGCCCACGCGGTTTCGGAGGTTGGTAATGAATCGGGTGACCAGTTTACGGTTCCACGCCAGCCCATCTCGAACGACCTCACTCCCTCTCCCTCTCTCCCTCTCTCTCTCCAGTCACGAAGCGTAACGGATATTGAAATGGAACACGAAACCTCCCACTTTTCGGATTATAAAGCCAACCCCACCTAAACCGCAAACAAACAAACCAATCCAACGAACCGCACCAGCTCCGTCCCTTCCCCGTCAATCTCCCTATACGACTCGCTAGACTCTGTCCTCTCTCTCTCCGTATAAGAAGAAGAAGCAGAGGATTAAGAGGACAAGAAGAACAGCCGGATGAGATGGTGATGGTGGAGGAGAGCGACAAGGGGGAGCAGAGGGTGAAGGGGTCGTGGAGCCCGGAGGAGGACGCCGCGCTAACGAGGCTGGTGGAGCGGCACGGGGCCCGGAACTGGTCGCTGATCAGCGCGGGGATCCCCGGGAGGTCGGGGAAATCGTGCCGGTTGAGGTGGTGCAACCAGCTCAGCCCCTCCGTCCACCACCGCCCCTTCACCCCCGCCGAGGACGCCACCATCCTCGCCGCTCACGACCGGTACGGCAACAAGTGGGCCACCATCGCCCGACTCCTCCCCGGCCGCACCGACAACGCTATCAAGAACCACTGGAACTCCACCCTCCGCCGCCGCCGCCGCCGCGCGACTCCCGTTGCCCCATCACCCTCGTCCTCGCCCCTCCCCCTCTCTTCCTCATCTCCGATCGCCACCGAGCCGGACTACTCGGATTCGGGCTCGGCCAGGAAGCGGCAGCGCTCGAGCGAAGACGCCAACGGGGGCGGATGCAGCTCGTTGGCGGCTGACCCCACGACGTCGCTGTCGCTGAGTCTGCCGGGCGACGGCGGGGGGGCGGAGAGAAGGTCGGACGGCCCGCTTGGAGATGTGGAACGGCTGAGGGACATGTGCTTGGTGTCGATAATGCGGCAGATGATCGCGGAAGAGGTGAGGAGTTACATCGACAAGCTGCGATCGCCGGGCGCCGTCGACGATACGGTCTCCGTTGTCGTAAAGGCCGAGCCCCCCTCCGATCGGCAGAATTAATTAGCAGCGAATCTCCTCATTTTCCTACTCATATTTATTCTTTCTTCTTTTAAGTTGTGCTGCTCCTCCTAACGATGGCAGCGTAATCTGTAAATAAGACTAGAGAGAGGAAATAAAAATGTTAAAATATCTCATTTTTATAACATCAGCTAAACTAATAAGTCTGATTAAAGCAAGAAGGCCAACATAATTTTTAATTACAGTATAAATAAAATTATACTGGAATTAAAATTGACTTAGAAAAAAAAGAAGAGATATGACCAATATAAATAAATACAAATTATTAAGCAAAAGAGAACACTGGAATCCCCTCAGGTCGCACCGGAAATCAAAAGATGACAAGCAGAGAGAAGACGGCGTAAACAACACAGCAGGCGTACGCTACCAGCCCACGGAGCTCATCGCCACACGATGCCGACTCCACCAGGAGCCCCGTGCACGCCCTCGTCGACCACAGCACGAACACCGCGGCCATCGCAAGGATCGTCACACCACCACGCGGAACAAAAAGCGACGCCGCCGAAAAGATCGCCATCGGTAGCATACAGTACCCAACCAGGCTCAAGCACCGATGCAGATCCAAGTTCCCTGACCTTCCGGCCAGCAGGTTGAAGACCGAGTAAAGAAACAGGGTGGCGATGGTGACCCAGCCCAAGATGACCCCCAAGTGTAATTTCCCGGCGAGGAGTTGGAAGAGACCGAAGAGCATCAGGAAGAAGAAGGGGCCGGAGAGATCGGCGTCGTCGTGGAGATGAGCGTCCACGCGGAGTGGATTCAGGATCGAGGACGTCTTGCGCCAGATCTGGCGAGTGTCGATGCCGAGTTCTTCGAGGAGGGGCGGCTCGTCCTCGAAGGACCCAGGGACGGGGGCGGAGAAGGATGAGGAGGACGGGGCGGGTCCGAGGTCGAAGGACATGAAGGGGAGACCAGGGTTAGCGGGACGCGGGGGAGAGCGGCGTTGGACGGCGGAGGACAGGAAGACCACCGGGGGGACGGAGAACGGTTTCGCCATCTCGGCGGTGGTGGTGGGGGTTGACGGGACCCCGAGAGTCGAAGGATGTGGGATTCAAAAAGCAGAGAGGGGTTACTTAGGGGACGAATGCTTTCCGCGACGCGTTGGCGGTTGCACCGGAACCGTCGATTGCCACTCGAGAAACAACAGGGAAACGGCAGAGATCAATTAGGGAGGCTTTTAGATTCGTGAGGAATAGACGGGAATCAACGCGGTTGCCTTGCGAATCAAGGAAACCAACCGCCCTCGGGCGTCGCACAAGAAAGGTCGAACGCAAAGAGTGGTCAAGTAGAAACGCTTTGAGATTCGCGAGGAATAGAATGTGGTGATGAGATAGGGGATGGGCACCATAACCCAGCCAATTCATACGAGCGCAACTAAGTTATCAACAGAGACGAGAGGAAAGCATGGTTTCTGCATCGGGTATGTACTAAAGCTGTACAGTTCTGCAGATTCTTAGCATGCATACTCTTCACATCCAAACCCTGGAAACTTCTTTTATGGTCTACAGTGTACGTACGCCACCTGACAAGCACGACAACAGAGGGGGGAAAAAGGCAGTGTCATCGGTAGAGCTGTGCTCATCTGTCTCGCGGCCTCCACCTGTAACAGAGCATAAGTTTAATTCAGTATCCGTAATCCATCATAGATGATGGATTGAATCGAAGTATACGAGTACAGGTCAGTACAGAGAAGGGAATAGAATGAGAGTTGGGCAGGCAAATAAATACCAGTAGTCGTCCCAGAAGGGGTGAGCTTTGGACATGCGGTTCGGGCCATAGGGATACCCGAATTCCGCACGCCGGGCGTTGCGGAAAGCACAGCAGCCGACGGAGTAAACGGCGATGAGGAAGACGAGAACGACGACATTGAGGATGGTGAGCTTGTGCCAGTCCCTCCTCACCTGCTCTAACACGCCGGCCTTGCATGAGTCGCAGTCATAGCAGAGGATGTTGGCCGCATTGTTCCAGCGGTAGCAGTCTTCGTCTTGCGCTGCCACCGCCATCCCTCCGGTGTACGTGCACGTTGTTGGGGGCTTGCAGCAGCCCGACTGCATGCAATTGCACGAACAAACAATTGACGAAATATGATCATCGACGCTCAAATTAGATAAAAGTGAATTATCATTCATAACATTTAAACTACCAGGGGTAAAAGTAAGCAAACATTTGATCTTCTCGTAGAATATTTTATCATTTTACTATCAGACATATATAAGCTCTTTTAACATGATTACAATGGAGGATTATTTTTATCACTCATTGGCACACTCATTTTTCTCATGTTACTAACCATAGTGTGTCGGATTGATTAGGTTGAAAAACTTGACCTTAATTTTTGTGTAGATGATATATCAGGAGCTTAGTACTTTTATTTCGAAGACACATCAATCACACCTTGGATATCCCTTTGTACATAGTCTAGAATTATGTCGAACTAACTTGGATATCCATGATATTTTTCTATAATAAATTTCTTAGATGAATAATTATCTAAACAAATAGGGAACTAGATAGCTTTGTGCTCAAGTGTTTCTTATTCATACTTAGCTAGACTCAAAATAATTCTTCTAAGTAAACATATTAAAATTTTATTATCTTTCTTTTGAGAATAGATAAATTTTATTATATAACTAGAATATATTTAGTAGTGATAGGATATGATGTTACCTAAATTGGGGAGAGGTCTCTTTGGATGCCAAAAGCATCCAAAGAGCAATCTTGGTGCACATCTTTGACCCTACAATGCATGTCATGATGGTCCTGTAATATCATCGATATGTGATCCTACATTGAAGCTACTAGAGTAGTCATTGAGGTGATACTCCTAATAGGCGATCAATAGACTGAAAGTGGTAGTATCAACTTACCACATAATAATGAGATCCCGACATGAGTCGGCATCGAAGAGCTAAGAAGTAATACAAAGAAATCACACTAGTATTACCTGAAAACAATCTTTCTACTAAAGAAAGTCAGACCCGAGGCACCACATATGAACCCTCGAGACAAAGCTAAGTTTACCCCAAATCTCGAGCTAATAGAGATGTTAATCAAGGTATCTCTAAATAAAGTTTGACCCGATTGAATTGTCAAAGTCAGACGACACTTTTCGAAGAGAGATGGGTGAGGCTCATCAACTTTCTTCGAGAGAATACTAGAGTATTTACATGGTCATCGAGAGTTATGTCAGAAATCGACTCCAACATAACTTAGCATCATGTGAATATTTCTCCTAAGGCATGACTAATGAAGCTAAGGCATCGCGAGTTTGCTCCCAACCACTAACAAGCCATAAGTAATGAGAAAGACAAACTATCAAGCACGAGGTTTATTTTTTAGATGCAATACCACTAATGTCTCGCAAATGTTATACTCATTAAAAAATACAATGAAAAGTGAAGAATGTGTGTTGACTATATCGATTTTAACAGAATATGCTTAAAAGATAGATACCCCCTTTCTTGGATCGATCAGTTGGTTCATGCCACCTTGGGTCATAAGTTGTGCACTTTTATGGATTCATTATTAAGATATAACCAGATTAGAAAAACATTGAGGGGTCAAGAGCATACTTCTTTCATCATTGACATAGGAATGTAGTGCTACCTAGTTATGTCTTTTCGATAGAAAAATATCGAGGCAACCTACCAAAGGATAATGAACAAGATGTTCAAATATCGGACTAGGAGCAATGTTGAAGCTTATGTGGGCAACAAAATAATGAAGGACAAGACAATTGACTCACATTTGGTAGATTTGGATAATATATTTTGAGTTTTGAAAAAGTTCAACATATGCCTTAATCTAACCAAATATATTTTTGGAGTTAACTTATAGAAGTTCCTCGGGTTCATCGTGCATTAGAGAGGGATAAATGTCAATCCTGAGAAGGCACTAGCCATATTAGAGATGCACTCACTTCAGTCGATAAAAGAGATTCAATAGCTAATGGGTTGATTAGCAACACTCAGTTGATTCCCATCTTGATCCAATGATGGGTGCTTCCCTTTCTTTCAAGCATTAACAAACTTAAAAAGTTTCCCATAGATGGAGGAATGCTATAATGCGTTCAAAAACATAAATAAGCACCTTATAAGACTACCATAGCTCACCTCCTATGTCTTGGATGAAACTTTGAGCTTCTACCTCATAGACACCAACCTTATGGTCAGCTCAATGCTAGTTTTGGAGGATGCAAGAGACCAGAGACTCATCTATTATGTCTTGAGCGGATCCGAGGAGTGATATCCCTCAATTGAGAGAGTAGCATTTGCATTAATTAGTCTTGTTAGCTAGAAAGCTTCATACTACTTTCAAGTGCATATAATACAGGTAATCAACGACTAACCCCTCAGACAAGTTTTCTTCTAATTTAATGTTTTCGATCAATTACTCAAATGGTCAATAAAGTTGGTAGAGTTCAACATCTAGTACATCCCGAGGGTTGCTATAAAGGCTCAAACATTTATGGATTTCATTTCAAAACTTTCTCATCATTCATTTGAGGTCAACAAGCACACCCCACCAATATGGACACTGTTCATGGATGTCTAGGCCACCTCGAATAAAGACGATGTCGGACTTATGTTGAAAGGCCCCAACATATAAGCATTTAAGCAAACCCTATGATTCGATTTCAAGATCTCCAATAATGAAGCTGAGTACAAAGCACTCCTCTCGAGGCTTCGACTCGTCATGAAGCTTCAAGTTCAAGAACCGATGGTTTTCAAAAACTTACAATTGATCATGAATCAAGTGAAAAGAAATTATAAGGCTCAAGATGTAATCATGATAAACAATTTTACCGAGGTGTAGAAACTAACCCCCGACTTCTCTAACATGTCGAGGGTTTTTCACCTAAACCAAACTCAAAATAGGGGATTAGGTAACTTTATACTTAAGTGCTTCTTAGAAGTGTGTAATATGTAATGCACAGATGACATAACATACTTAGCCAGACTCAAAATAATTCTTCCAAGTAAACATATTTAAATTTTATTATATAAATTTTTTCATATAATAAAACTTGTTAATAGTGACAAGATATGATGTCACAAAGGTCTATACTTAGCCAGACTCAAAATAATTCTTACAAGTAAATATATTTAAATTTTATTATATTTAAAATAGATAAATTTTCTCATATTATAAGAATATGTTAGTAGTGACAGGATATGATGTCACCTGAATCGAGAAGATGTCTCATACTTAACTAGACTCAAAATAGTTCTTCCAAATAAATATATTTAAATTTTTTTATATTTAAAATAGATAAATTTTTTTATATAATAAAAATATGTTAGTAGTGACAAGATATGATGTCACTTGAATCGGGGAGATGTCTCATACTTAGTCAAACTCAAAATAATTTTTTCAAGTAAATATATTTAAATTTTATTATCTTTAGAATAGATAATTTTTTTAATATAATAAGAATATGTTAATAGTGACAAGATATGATGTCGCTTGAATCGGGGAGATGTCTCATACTTAGTCAGACTCAAAATAGTTTCTTCAAATAAATATATTTAAATTTTATTATATAACTTTTTTTGTATAACAAGAATTATGTCACCTAAATCAGGAGACGCCTCATAGCTCAAAATAGTTCTTCCAAATAAATATATTTAAATTTTATTATCTTTAGAATAGATAAATTTTTTTATATAATAAAAATGTGTTAATAGTGATAGGATATCATGTCAGTTGAATCAGGGAGATGTCTTGTAGTTAGTCAGACTCAAAATAATTTTTTCAAATAAATATATTTAAATTTTATTATTTTTAGAATAGATAAATCTTCTCATATAATAAAAATATGTTAGGATATTGATGTCACCTAAAGTGGGGGGGGGGGGGGGGGTGGAATGTTTCATACTCAAAAATAATTCCTTCAAATAAATATATTTAAATTTTATTATATAAATTTTTTCATATAACAAAAATGATGTCACCTGAATCGGGGAGAGGTCCCTCTGGATGTAGTCCAAAGGCGTCCAAAGAGCGATCTTGGCGCATGTCTTCGACCCCACGACGCACGCCAAGACGGCGCTCCAGTATCGCGGCTCTGTGATCCTACGCCGGAGCCACCGGGAATAGCCGTCGAGGTGGTACTCGTGGTAGACGCGCCCGGGGACCTCGACCCCGCCGCCGCTGCCGCCGGCGACGGCGAAGCCGAAGGCGGTGAGGCTGAGGAGGGCCGCGATGAGGAACAGCATGACGAGGAGGTAGAGCCACAGCGCCCACGCCACGTTGAAGCAGGCGCCTGCGAACCCCGCAAGCGAGACGAGCAGCACCACGAAACCCAGCACCAGGAGCGGCGTCTGCAACAACGACTCGCAGGTGGCGGAGCTCCGCGCCAGCCACAGCCCGCCGCCAATGATGGGGATGGACGCCAGCAGCGTCAACAGGTTCAGGTAACCGATCACGGTGTTGCTGAAGCGATACATTCTCTGAAACCCTGGGATTCTGATCCCAAAATCTCTTTTTTCTGCGAACTGGTGATGCTACTCCTGCTTTGAGTGCAAAAGAAATGTTCGATTGCTGGAGCATGGATATGGGTTGCTTTCCGCCTTTAGTTCTCTTTAGTTTTGAGGCTTCACAGTGCTCTAATAATGCTGATTTCTTTTTGGAGACAAGACAGCTTTCCCTTCCCCCCCTGCGGTGATGGCTTGCTGCTGGTTTTCCTGGCCAAAGAAGCAACCATGATTTTAACTGGTGAGGGTTTTGCATTTATTTCTTACATGTTAAGAAACAATGAGGTGGATTGTCCTTTTGATAGCACTTCATGGGTGGAGACTTCCAGTCCTGCTTAACATTAATTTACATTTTCTTTATGAAAGGATAAGCCTAAAGAGAGAATTCCTGATCCACCACAGGGGATGATGACCTCAGAACCTCCTTTTGGTAACACTTTAGCTAAGTAAAGTGGCACTCAATTATACACTGCCAAAGAATCAGCAGAACAATGAGCATTTGCTTCCAAGCTGAGGCTCTGGATGACTGAGAACCACATCCCTACTATACCTGTGAGACCTTGGTGGCATACAACTCTTCCATGAAAAAACTCCTAACCATTCAGCTTCTGTAGCCAAGAATCCTAACATCAAGCACTTGTAAAGGAAATGAATCCTATAGAATTGAGTTCCTTGATGAACATAAACTGGTGAAAGTAAGGGTAAGGTCTCCTACCAATAGGTTCCTAGAAGGGCTGCACATTGCAAGAAATAGTGTCACCTCAAAAGACAAAAACAATGCATGATTTATCCGCCTTTTAATCCTACCATTAACAATTAAGAAAACTACCATGAAGATGCATCGTTGACAAGATGCACTCTAACTTTAGACAAGTGGAAAAATTACTCCTTTTATTCAGATAAGAAAAATATATTGAAAACCTTTCTGAATGGGGACTGCTGCTGCTGCTCCTTGTAATAAATTATGCTCTCTATATGTATGCCCCGAGGATACTTCCACCAAAAATGAAGAAGCCTGTGTCAAATGGAAAGAAAAAGGTTCAAGAATGTAGCCCCACTGAGAAATGAGAAGAAAAATATTGATCACAGCAGTCAAGGTACTATTCACTTCAACATTAAGCTCACAAACTTTGAAATTTTTTTCTTTGGTTGACTTTCTTGTAGATATAGTATTTGATGGATATCCTATTATTAATTTAAACCTTAACAATTTTGAACTAGTAGTTCAAACTTACGAAGTTAATCCATTAGTTGTCCTATCAACTTTACCATATTTGGAGTTTAGGTTTTATTTGGACTAAGGTCTAAGATCTAATGAGAATGACTTTAAAAAGGAAAGATCTGGAGAATTGAAGCTCTTTCAGTATTGCTTCTAACTTGTAATATTTTCTTTTAGTGGGATGAATAATCAACTGTCAAGATAAAAGGGATCCATATCACTTCACTAATGTGGTACATCTAGTTGAAGAAAAATGTGGATGATAATTTACAGTGAGTGATTATTAGTCAATGAATGCTTAACTTAGTATCACATGGCTTTAAGACTCTGACTCAAACATGCTACTATAAGTTGTTTCTTTGACGAAAAAGAAAAGTGTTCACTAGCGTTCATCTGAATCCGACTCCGGCACAATAAATGTGTTGTTTCTCTGTTTTGGTCAAAAATATTCACAAGCTTTTCTGGTCACTGAAGACAAGGAGCTGTGAGCCCAGACTGGATTCTACTTTGCTTAAACTGCTGCTGCTCCTTTTCTTTTGGTGTCAGTGAGCCCTAGCTGAACTAGATCTTCCCTTACTTTCTCTGTATCATAGCTGGATGATGCAAGGCTTCTTACTTGAAGAGTGTGAAAGACTTGCTAGTTTCTACCAAGGTAACATAGTGATTAATACTGGCAAAGATAGCTGCTATTTGGTGGAAAACATCATGATAAGTTAGTTGTTACTTTTTGATAGGGGAACTCTTCTCAACCAATAGCACACATGGCAGTTTAGTTGACAGAGAGGAGTCCAAACAAGCAGCTAGGGCATGTTCTGCCAAGCAATATTCTGTGGCATACTTCGACACAGCAATCGAGTTCGATTATTCTTTACTAAATTTAGTCTTTATCTCTCGCGGGAGCTGACTTGAGTGTCGAAAAGACTGTGTAGAGAATCCCATCCGACCTCAATCCTTGTACAAGTGCGATCCCAGATCCTTCTGGGCCCTCAAAAGAACTCTCGAGACCCCTCGACAATCACCTCATCCCTCTTACACATGTGTCGCATCAAAATGACTCTTTTCCCGACTTTCCAAAGTCTGTGTTCAGTAGCTTGTATATGTCTAAATCATGCATTGTGTCACACAACCTAGTTGAACATCCGTTTAATGCAGGTCTAAAAATACATCTAAGAATGTCATCTGCATGTACTTTTTTTTGTTGGTTCTCTCTCTCTCTCTCTCTCTCTCTCTCTTTGTGTGTGCTCATTTTAATGCTTGTACATTATTGTTAGTCAACATTTTTCACATGCAATTTATCAAACAAGTTATCCGCAATTGCAAATACATGCGTTAGCAAATGCAAAGCAATACATCCACAAATGCAGACTACAGAAATGCCCCTCTAGTGCTTGTTAAGTAATAGAAACTGTGGGTGGAAATGAAAAGATGATGAATTGCTCAATGGTGGACTTACCATTGTCGTCTGATGGTAGGGCGGCGACGGCGAAGGCTTTCACGGCGAGGCGCAACTGGTTCCAGCGCTGCAAGCTCCAAGAAGGTCGGCCGGCCTTGACGAGGTGGGAGAGGCCCATGGAGACTATCCGGTTGACACTGAACTCGCTCCTGTTTCGCCACTGCGTGGCCTTGAATCGAACGGCGACGGCGACTGCGAGGGGAATGAAACGGAATCGATGTCTATATACCGTTCGATGGAATCGTACCTAAGAAGTATTGAGCGGCTTTTTTTCGTCTCCTCCAAAAAGCCCAATAAGAGAACACCTATGTGTTCTGATTTTGACCTGAGTCAACTATGGTTTTAAGCAGTAAGAGAACTAAACCTAAACGATTTCACATATTGACTCTCAACCGATATGGTGAATCAATTCTCCTAATAGTCATAAAAAGATAAAAGGGTTATTTCTCCATTTCTTTCCTTTGTTCTTTTTGGGGGGGAAGACTTGACTCGCTTCTAACATCTTTATATCAAAAGTCAGAATTTTTACCAGTCAAACTATATGACATCATCAAATATTTCCTTAGTCTTGAGTCATGTATACCACTAAAGATTGGTTGGGGGAGACTAACATAGGAGGGGCAAAGTTGTCATTTCACTTGTCGATGGCTTATGTATACATTTATGTAGAGAGAGAGAGAGAGAGAGAGAGAGAGAGAGAGAGAGAGAGAGAGAGAGAGAGAGAGCTTAAGTCAAAAAGTACAATGCTTACATAGAAGTCAATGCTTACATAGATCAAACGGTATGCATTGAATTGAAGCCAACAAGGTGAATTCAATAGCTCTGCTTTTATGGCATGCAATCTGTAGATAAGAGACACAGTAATCAAGAAAACCTAAAAGTGTGAGTGGTCACCAACATGGCATTCCTCGAAAAACACAAAAGAACTTGCATGAGGGCCATTCTGTAAAGACTGTCCTCTCCAATCATCTTCTGGTGTCCTAAAAATGATCAACAATGAAACAAATGCTTCTTCTACTGTAAATTTGAATCAAGATTAATCTTAGAGTTACATACGGCAGACTAGCCGACAAGCATTGGATTCTCCGTCGCACAGAGGGCCACCCGAATGCCATCACTTTGCTTGTCATGATGGTTCGAATTACAGAAAAGAATGAATAGCTGGGCACCAATGGCAAGTCAACTCCCAGCTTTTGATTCTTGTCTTAATGGTTGACAGGAATGTGGCAAGCAATCCGCTTGGTTGTGAATGCACCAACCACATGAAAGAATACCAGGAAGAAATGGTCAGTAATATTTTCCTGGGAGGTGATCTAGTGGCCTTCCCCAAGGGAAAGGAAATAAAAAATCAAAACCAAGAATATATATATAGATATTCGTTTTTCCTCTCATTTACACAATCCCTCGTGGGATCCTTGCTTCTCCTGGTCTACCTCTCATCTTGGGTTCTGATAGTGAAAGGGCAGAGGAATCACTCTAGGCATGTAGAGGTGCCACACCATGATCTTGGAGCAGCCGGCGGGAATACCCTTCAGCTTAGTCTCATCTTCTAGGATAATTTCATGCACAAACCTGATTGAATCCTGAAAATACCATCACCACGAAGATGTCATTGGTAAAATTCTAGAGAGAAAAAGTGGTAGTTACCAGCTATTCAACAAACCCTTGTTAAGAGTCCTAATCATAAAGTCCCCTGTGCTAGACTTTTGTTCTTGAGTGAAATAAGGAGGATAAGTTGGTAAATGTCCACCATTGGCTAATAATCGAGGAAGGTTGCTGTCAATTAGGTAAATTGAGAACCTTTGGGAATACAGAACTTTGTAGTACAACAAAAGGACTGACTTCTAAATTTATTGCTTTCAGAGATTGCTCGAGAGAATCTCATGCATGTGTCCATTATGTGCCAAATATTGTAATGTCCATGAAGTCAGTAAATAAAATGAAAGGGATCGAGGTGATGCATATAGCTAGCTACAAACATACTGTCACCAATTGCTAACTTATTCCTCGGTCATCAAAGTAGAAAACAAATTATCTAGACTCATAATTGCACTTCACTGAGGATCAACCAACCACAAAGTAGATCGGCTAATTTCTCTATTTGACCACTGATCCAGGGTAAACAAGGGAAAACTAAAGAGCACAATATTTATTTCACCACAGCGAAAAGAATCTTCTCTTTGATCACATAGTGCCTACAAGTCTCTGAACTACCACATGTTCCATCTTAAGTGCCTAAATGTTTATACGAAATATTTGCTTGAACTGTATATCAAGGCACAATTGCAATTTGATCATGCACACGATCTTATCTAACTTGGCATTTAAAAAATACCCTCATACAAGAAAAAAAAAAAGGCAGTCTGACAAAAGTGAAGCAAAATTTACTTTATGCAACATAGGTATTTTGTGATTTTAATCAGAAAATGCTAGAGACTAACCTGTGATGTGTCAGGCAATGAGGTAGGGCGACCCCATCTCTCAGGATCCCACAATATCGAGCTATTGAATGCAAACCCAGAAATATTTATATTTGGAGGTCTAGAGCTCACATCTGAGCTAGTCACCAACAACCTTCTGTCATTGCTCAAGTCCTTCAAGATCCACCCTTCAACCTTTGATGAATGACAAATAGGACCATCCACCACCACTCTCTTCCTGTTCTCTGACACCACTGCTACTGGCCATGTCCCAAAAACCCTGAAATTGTAATGCAGGAGGCACTAGAATAATTAACTTGCTGCTCAAGAGGCAGAGGACACAAAAGCAAATATGTTAATGTGACAACTAGTGTAACATTTTGGAATGCTAAATGTGCAGGAGCATTTAAAAGAAAAAGCTTAGAGGAATAAATTAGAAGAATAATATTTCTGAATCCAAATGTATTTTAAAAAATTAGATAATATAGAAAAGGGAAGATATTTAAACTCTGATTTCTCGTATGATGACCTGCAGACAAATTGCAAATCCTCCCTAGTCGTTAACAGAATAATTTCTTGAATTTGGAATTAGTGGAAGTGTGAAATTTCATTCATCAGATTCCAACAGAAAATGAAATATACTGAGCTTACATCCATTAAGTGAAGCATTTTGGAGAAATACCTTAAAGCAGCTGACAGAACAAGAATGTACATGAATCAGTGTTCTACCTCATTAGATCATTGAAGAAACATCTGAACACATTACGTGGAAAAACAGGAAGGGCTGGCGACGAATTGGCTGGAAAGTTCTTTAAGAAAGGTTTAGTTTAATACAATGAGAATTGGAGGCAATCTCTACAGCATAAATTTTAATTTTCCTGATATCATTTGAGAACAGAATGTTTTTTTTAAGATCAGGGTTGCATGTAATCCACATTTCTTTGTTATGTATCGATGCTTATCATATACATGACTATTACTCGAACTCTGATGTTCGGTAAAACATACTTGACATTAATTCAACGATATCATAGACTACAGCAGAGAGGCATAAGAAGAAGCAGCTGAGAATGACAGGATCGATAGAGTTCATGCTGTACAATGAAAACTATGAAATAAGGGGAAAAGAGAGGAACAGATTAAACCAAAATAGCTTTGTCCAAGAGATCAGTAGTGCAACCAAGGGCCCAAAAATTTCTCCATAGTAAGTCATCTTTCATTATTTCTTTCTTTTCCCTGACACAAAAACAAGTAAATCTACCTAGGAAGAAGGGTCAGATTTCAATGATACAACAAAAAACAGGCAAAAAACCAAACTGGTAATGGATCGATCATGAAAGCAAACTGAAGAATCCTTGAAGACAAACATGGGAAGAAAAATTGGGAGAAGAACATCAATTTCCCTTGGTTTTCTTTCCTCGAACCTTTTTATACTTAAATCTTTGGAGTACCCAGATAAACTAGAATTATTGCATACAACAGGAGTAAGATTAAGGAGAACAGAAGCGCAAATTAGAAGAAAGATTTTTTATGACTATATCACACTTGATCCCTTCAAGGAAAATACTTTAAGCAAGAGAGATTCGAGCTCAATTGTGGTCAAAGACTGCACAAGGTAGCATACTCTTGTTCGGTTCAAGATGTAGAGAAATTTATACTGATTCCATCTTTTAGGTTTCCCTACTAGTAATCGAGTGAAATTCAATCGAGAAGTAAACTATTTTGCCCTAAGCAGATCATGCTAGCCATTCATATCGACGAGGCGAAAACCAGTACAGAAGAAGGGAAAGGGGAGAGTGGTCATACTCGATCTCTCTAATCTCGTCGAAGAATCGGAGATCGTAGACGTTGGATGCACCGGCGAAGTGCACGATCCCGGTGAGCCGGTGGTACTCGACGTGGCTGAGGGCGACGTTCCGCTGGTGATGAGCCTCCGCTGCCGGATCCGTGATATTCTCCCTAAAGGTCAGGTGCCGGTACATGACGCCGGTGGTCCTCAGCATCGCGGCGGTGGCGGGGGCTTCCGCATGGGCCTGGACGACGATCCACAGGAGCGGTGGCGGGACGAGGCGCAAGGTGTGCGCCAATCGCCGCAGGAACGCGCCTTGGAACCGGTCGTTAGAGCTGGTGGTGGTAACAATGATCAGCAGCCGCCGCGACGGAGCCTGTGGCCCGCGCGCCCCCGCCCCCTCCATGTCCGGCGGCGGATCGTCCCCGACGTCGCCGTTCCCGCCGGTAGCGGCGGGGACAGATCTCGGGATCTCGACCATGGACCTGTTGACGGCCACGCCAGGCTCAACGACCCGCTCCACGACATCACCGGGGGCGGCGGGGAGGATGCCGATGCTCCTGACGGGCCGGCGCTCGGCAGCGCCGCCGGAGAAGAAGGTAGCGGTGCTGGGCGGCGCGAAACCGGTGAAGAAGCCCACCACGAAGCACAGCGCGAAGTGCAGGAGCGCCTTCTTCCACAGGCGATTCCTCCTCTTCGATCGGTCCATCGAACCCATCTCCCCCTTCCACCGACGACGGCAACTACAGATCGTAATGGAATGAAGCCAACACGAAAAAGGAAACTGCAGTAATGCAACCGAGAAGACGACAAAAAATGCATTATATCCTTTAGTTATTAATCAAAACTCTAAATTATTATAATTTTATTGGAGCGATTTGCTTATAAAATATTTTTATTTTATGTATTTCTCAATCGATCCCCCCATTTTATTCTTTTTAAAACAGTTATCTTAATTTTTAAAAAATACTCAAATTATTGTGTTTTGATCTCCGTAACAAAAAAAATATTATATACGCACCTTGAAAACATGATAAATGAGTCAAATAAAATCAAAATATACTATACTATTTGATATACCATATTATGTTT